GTCTTAGAATGCTTTCCACAGAAGACTACCTTAATCCTCTTGGAATGTGTTTCTGTTTCTGCCCCTAAGCTGGGTGCTTGACAGTGTAAGTTGCCACATTGCTGCACTTACCCTGCTTAGAACTTCAGGCTTGGCACAGATAACTGTCTTCCTTGTGGTTCCGCTCTTTTTCCTCTTTGATGTTCCAATTATAGCATCTAAAGAAGCATCAGATTGGGGCTTGCTAAGATGGTGACTTTCCAATAGGGTTTCCAGTCCTTGGAAATTGTCAGTAATTTTTTTTTTATTATTAAAATCATTTATTTATTTGGTTCAGGGTCTCACTACACAGCTTAGACTTGTAGTGATTCTTCTGTGTCACCCTCCTCAGCGCTGTGATTACAGGCATGTGCCGCAACACCTTGTCTCAGTAGCCAGCTAGGCGCAGGGCCAGCACAGCCTGCGGTACCAGGGATCAAACCTGGGTCCTTGTACTTGCCAGGCAGGTGCTTAGACTGCCAAGCTCTCCAGCTCCAGTAATTCTTGAGACCATAGGGATTAGCATTAATAATCTGAAGAGGTTGTGTAGTATACCGACTAAGCATTTATTCACTGAGACCACACCAGTTGCCTGGAGTCAGATACTGGTTCGGGGTTGTTTATTAGCTGAATGACCTTGAGTAAGTTACTTCTGCCTTTGTATTCTCACCTCTGTGCCATGAGAATACTAATGGTACTTAGCTCTGTAGTCACAGACAGCATTAATAGAGCAGTGCCAGACACAGTGTACACTAAAAGAAGCACTGGCCTTAGCCAGATACAGGTGCACATTTTGGTGCTGTCACTGGATGGGGTCGGAGGAGGGCACCCTACAGAGGACACTGGGACCTCACCTTCCCTGGAGTTTTCTGATTCAACACAGAGGAGAACCTCAAGATTTCTCAGTGAGAGACAAGCAGATTTATTAGGCAGATTCAAAGAAGTACATGCTTAGAAAAAGAGCGCAGGTGTGCAAGACCAAGATGCACTGCAGTCTTGGTGGGAAGGTTTCTGTGGTCTGGGGATGCCCTCAGGATGCATGACCTGGGATGGTTTGATCTGTTGTTTGCCTTCTGTTTCCTTAAGCTCAGGTTGCTCACTGGTGAGCTAAAGCAAAAGCTGACTTTACCAGTTGGATTAAAATGCACTGTTTGCGTGGATTTGAAGTTTGGAGCACCAATTAATGAGAATATTCCTTTGAGAGTAGAAGCGTTTGAATTTGTAGATTTATAATATCAGAAGAAAAGACAGGTCAGATTTATGGACTAATTATATCTTCAAGACGTAGAAATTTAGGAGTGAGGAACCTGGACCACACAGGTCAAGGAGCAAAAGGCACCAAAACCCTAAGTAACTTCGATTGTGTCCTAAGACTGCAGGTTTATTAAAATTACCATTATAGTACTCCCTTGCTACTTTCAGTGTTTGACTCCCACACACTCAGTTTTGTGGGTTTTCAAAAAATACTGATTTAAGGTATTTATTGCAGATTTTATATAAATACTAAAATTAATATAACATTGCTGCTTCACTGATTTTCACTTATTACGGAGGTGTCTGGAATGTAACCTCTGCGATAAGTGAAGGACCACTGTATATTTCTTGGTTGTTTTTTTTTTTTTTTTACCATTATATTTCTTCTGTGCTACCTCAGTTCCAGCTGTTTGGGAGGGTGAGACAGAAGAGTCATCCTCCCCCCATCTAAAGAAGGGAAAAAGGAAAGTTAGGTAGGAAACATTTTGGAGGATGGAGCAGGGGAACCGCATGTTCAAGGGCAGCCTGAATGACACAGTAGAATCCTGTCACAGAGAGACAGAGAATGCAAATGAGCCATACAATCCTGTCAGAAAAGAGTGAGCTTGCCCCAATTATCATTACTAATTTAGTGTGCTCTTAGAAATCCAATGAGCTGGGTGCAGTGACACCCAGCTGTAGTCTCAGCACCCTGCAAGCTGATGTGGGAGGATGCTTGAGCCTAGAAATTTGACACCAGCCCAAGCAATG